TTATGTGTGTGTGTGTCTTATCTCACTCAGCCTTATAACCTGTATCTCTCACTCTCTGCTCTTTGAATTGAGAAAGCTCCTCGGATGAGGAGCGAAACGTCTTCTGTTACAAATAAAGTCCAGTTGTTTTTGTATTGAACGCTTTTTGAATACACTAAACTTAGAATACGCTAAACACTTAATAGTGCAAAAACAATACGCCGAACAACAGCAGCATGAACATGAGTCTGTATGAGCAGATGATTACGAATGAATACAGCAGCATGAAATCAGCAGCATAGATAGTCAGCAGTTCATATCAACAATCATGTGGCATTACAGTGATTTTATTTTTTCACAGTGATATGCTCCTCAACCTTCTGCCTGAGGGGAGCGGAGCAAAAAGTGTGTGCTGGATGAGTGAGGGCCTTCAAGATACAGGTGGCCCTCTTCTTGCATCTAGAGGTGTAGATGTCTGTGATGGTGTGGAGGCTGACTCCCAACGGTTTTCTGTGCAGCCTTCACCACTCTCTGCAAAGATTTTCTTTCTGCAGCTGTGCAGCCTCCATGCCACACATTGATACTGGAGCACAGGATGCTCTCCATTGGACACCTGTAGAAGGAGGTGAGGACTGAGCTTTCCAGTCTAGCTCACCTCAGCCGTCTGAGGAAGTAGAGTCTCCTATGAGCTTTCTTGATCAGGTTGGTGGTGTTGTTGCCCCAGCTGAGATTGTCGTTCAGGTGAACAACCAAGTACTTATAGCTGGAGACCACTTCCACTGCAGGTCCTCCTATATTGGGGGGAGTAGGTATTTTTGTTCCGTCTGAAGTCCACAACCATCTCCTTAATCTTCTTCACATTGATATGAAGGTTGTTCTTCCTCACCAGCTCTCCAGGTGTTTCACCTCCTGCCTGTAGTTGGACTCATCGTTTGTGATGCATCCAACCACCACTGTATCATCCACAGACTTTACAATATGACAGCCTGGAGGGGTAGTTGCACAGTCATATGAGAGCAAAGTGAACAAGAGGGGGCTCAACACACATCCCTGAGGGGAGCCAGTGCTGAGGGTTATGGTGGAGGATGAGAAGTTGTGGATCCTCACAGACTATGGTCTGTTTGTTAAGAAGTCCAGGACTCAGTTGCATATGGAGGGGCTTAGTCCTAGTGTGAGTAGTTTGTCCATCAGGATCTATCGAATCATGGTACTGAAGGCAGACATGAAGTCCACAAAGAGCATACGGACATAGGAGTCCTTCTGCTCCAAATGGGTGAGAGCAGTGTGGACCACAGAGGATGAGATGGCATCCTCTTGATAAATTCTTACAGTATGCATACTGGTGAGGGTACTCACTCATGTTGATGGTAGCATTGATGTGGGTAATGCGTAGTATTTCAAAGCATTTATTGACTATCGGGGTGAGGCCTACTAGTCATTCAGACCAGTCACTGCAGAGCTCTTTGGAACTGGGATGATGATGGCAGTCTTCAGGCAGGTGGGAAATGTTGACAGGGTGAGGGAGGAGTTAAAGATGTCAGCCAGAACCACACAGAGCTGATCGGCACAGTCTTTCAGTACCTTCCCCGGGATGTTGTCTGGGCCAGTTGCTTTGTGAGGATTAATCCTCCTGAAAGTACTCCTTACTTCAGCTGAGGTCACACTGAAAAACTCCTCTTCTGGTGGTGAGGTGAGTCTGATGCTGGGTGGTCTGTTCGGGTCTTCAAAGCGTGCATAGAACTTGTTGAGGGCATCCCTAGGGCATTGTGCACCCCTGCCTTTATAGTCTATTATGCACTTAATGCCCCTCTCCACATGCTACATGGGTCTTGTGAGGAGAAATGTCCTTGGATCCTCTGTGCATATGTGGTTTTGGCCCTTTTTAACACCAGCAGACAACTTTTTTTTTTTTTTTTGTCCTTCTCAGCTCCTGTGAGTTGCCAGACCTGAAAGCAGTGTCCCTGGCTTCCAGCAGGGTGTGGACTTCTGCATTCAGCCAGGGTTTTTGGTTTAGGTAGCATTTCACAGTCCTGGCTCCTATGCCCAGTTATTGTCTGAATTCTCAGAATTCTTAACTGACTTACTACTAAATACTGATAAAGTTGTAATAATGGGTGGTTTCAATATTCATGTAGATGTTGAAAGTGATAGCTCAAGCATAGCCTTTAAAAACTTAATAGAGTCAACTAGTTTTACCCAAAACGTCCGAACACCTACTTACTCTCATCATCACACCCATTACCTGGTTCTGACCTATGGTATCGAGATTAATAACTTAGTAATATTTCCTCAAAGTCCTGTTGTGTCTGACTACTTTATAATTACCTTTGAGTTTACATTAAAAGACTACAAAATCACCAAGCGTCAGAAAATGCTGTAACCAAATTTAAAGATTCTCTTTCATCATTTTCCTCTGTCTTGCAGAGTAATGCATTAGAGATCAGTGACTTAGATCATCTAATTGATAATTTTACAACTACTTTGCAAACTTCACTCGATAAAGCTGCTCTACTGAAAAAAGAAATTAATGAATCTGAGGAGATTAGCTCCTTGGTTCAATTATGAGTTACGTACTTTAAAACAGACGTCTAAAACGTTAGATAGGAAATTATGCTCCACTAACATTGAGGAATTTAACTTACCCTGGAGAGATAGCCTGCTAATGTACAAAAAAATCACTCCATAAAGCTAGAACTTTATATTATTCATCTGTAATTAATAAGAATAAAAATAACCCCAGGTTCCTTTTCAGTACCATAGCTAGTCTAATGAAAAATCCTATTTGTTGATTAGTGTATCCCTACATCTATAAGCAGTGATGACTTCATGGGATTCTTTATAAACAAAATTGTTTCAATTTGGGAAAAAATTCAAACCAACATTTCTAGTATCGCCTCTGGTTCTGTGTCAGATGAGACAATTTTAAAAATGTCATTAGAACCTGATTTATGTTTGAACTATTTTTGTCCTGTGGAGCTTTCTGAATTGTCAAAAATAATAGCTTTATCCAAACCATCCATATGTCTGCTAGATCCTATCCCAACCAGATTATTTAAAGACGTATTTCCCTTAATTAATAACCACGTCTTGGATCTACTTAATTTGTCTCTAATAAATGTTTACGTATCACAGAGCTGTAAGATTCACTCATTGTGACTTATTT